CCTTTCGGCGACTGCTTCACGCGTCCGCCCGCGACCAAAAAAAGTACCCCCACCAGCTCTCTGTCGCTCGCCTCATTGTTTTTCTCTTTGCTACGGATCGCGTCCGGCCCTAGCACGCTCGGCGTTCGACTCCTTTTCGCGCGCCCGCTGACCCCAAAAAAGTAACCCCACCAGCCCGTCCAGAAACGATGCCCAAAGGAGTTGCCTCGATCAGGGAAGTGGGCGGCACGCAGAGGAAGGACCCCCCAGTGGAGGCCTCTTGGAGAGTCATGGGGGCTTCTTTGGCGCCCCCCGAGGCTTCCTGGAGCGTCCTGGAGCGTCCTGGGTGCCCTGTTCGAGATAGAGCGAGAGCAAACTTGGAACCAACGATTCATTGCCAAGGCCAGGCTGCAAGTCGAAATGATTAGTCATCGGCGTCACCCCAACATACTCATACTATATGTGCGTCGCCCCTTCAGGGGCGACGCGCGCACCGAGAAATCGTATAGTATATGCGTCGTGTGGGGCGCTTTCTGGCCACACCGTTCGTGAAATGGGTATATGACAATATGGGTATATTATACGTTCGGGTCGGACGCGCGCCCTCAGGGAGGACACCTGGCATTAGTGTGTCCTTGTGCGTCCCAGGTCAGGCGCTGCGGACCGTCGTGACAGGGGAAACGCCGGCGAGGCAGACGTGCGGTCGAGCCGCCCAGGTGCCGGCTGGTCTGCCCGGCACCCCCTCGGGGGGTCTCTCAGTGAATGGCCTGGGATGACCTGCGGAGCCCCTTCGTCTGGGAGGGGCCTCGTCTAGCAGCGGGCAACGCACGGCCGAAGGACACGTCTAGTATCACGGATGCTCTTTCGAACCGTCGTGGGGAAGGACCCAGGCGAGCAGCAGGGTATGCACAGTGCACAGCAGAAGAGCACGTCTAGTACCCAGGATGCGTCCTCATCAACTTGGGAGGGGCCTTGTCCAGCAGGGTGGTGTACAGCAGAGGGGCATGGACAGCAGAGGGTCCGCAGGCCCTGGAGGCTTTCAAGAGCCCGCGGAGGCTTCCATGGGCCTCCGCCAGCAGGACAGTTGAGACAAGTGAATTTGGTTTCGGGGTTCTATTCGGTACCAGGTGATCAATGGATTTGTTTGTATTCCTTTTGTATCGCATCGGATTTCTGATCAGGCTATGGCCCTCCATCTTGTAGGCGGGAGTGTCTGTTCAGAGGCTTCTTACGTGCGGCAAAATTCCATAAGGTACCTGTGTGCGTCCCCGTTTGATGATCCTCGCCTGAAGTCGCCCTTCTTCCCTGCTTTCTCCGCCTTGGCCTCGGCTGTTTGGGCTCCCCGCTTGGCTTCGATCCTTCGATCTTTCGGCTCCCCGTTTGTAGGCCAGAGCCCTTTTGCCACCCTATAAAAACAGGTCGGGCCATGAAGCCAACACTTGATCCGTTCCCAACTTTGGACGACCAGGCCCCCTCTTGGACTTTAGTCACTCCGAGACGGTCAGGACCTTAGCGTCGCTTCTCTGGAACCATGTCAAGTCGTCGTCACCGTCGTCGTCGTCGTCGTCGTCGTCGTCGACGTCGTCGCCGTCGTCGTTGTCATCGTCGTCGTCGCCCTCCGTAGTCGTCGTTGTCGTCGTCGTCGTCGTCGTCGTCGTCGTCGTCGTCATCGCCAGTCGTTGCCGTCGTCGTCGTCGTCGTCATCGTCGTCGCCGGCCGTCGTCGTCGACGTCGTCGTCGTTGTCGTCTTCGTCGTCCGTCCGTCGTCGTCGTCGTCGTCGTCGTCGTCGTCGTCGGTGGTCGTTGTCGTCGTCGGTGGTCGTCGTCGATGTTGTCTTCCGTCGTTGTCGTCGTCGTCGTCGTCGTCGTCTTCGTCGTCGTCGTCGTCGTCGTCGTCGTTCCTGTTCGACGTCGTCGTCGTCGTCGTCGTCGTTGTCCGTCGTCGTCACCGTCCGTCGTCGTGAGTCGTCGTCGTCGTCGTCGTCGACGTCGTCGTCCTCGTCGTCGTCGTCGTCGTCGTCGTCGTCCGTCGTCGTCGGTCGTCGTCGGCGGGTCGTCGTCGTCGTCGTCGTCGTTCGTCGTTGTCGTCCGTCGTCCTCGTCGTTAGTGGT